CCACTCTTCCCCAAGCCTGTAGCGCTGCATGGGGTTGTTGTGGCCAAAGTGCAGGACCCGGCACTTGGCCTTGTTGAATCTCATGCAGTTGGCCTTGGCCCATCGATCCAGCCTGTCCAGGTCCCTCTGCAGAGCCTTCCTACCCTCGAGCAGATCAACACTGCTGCCCAACTTGGTGTCGTCTGCAAACTTACTGAGGGTGCACTCGATCCCCTCATCCAGATCATTGATAAAGATATTGAACAGACCAGCCCCAAAACTGAGCCCCGGGGAGCACCACTCGTGACCGGCCGCCAACTGGATTGAACTCCATTTACCACAACTCTCTGGGCCCGGCCGTCCAGCCAGTTTTTGACCCAGCGCAGAGTACACCTGTCTAAGCCGTGAGCCGCCAGCTTCTCTAGGAGAATGCTGTGGGAGACAGTGTCAAAGGCCTTACTGAAGTCCAGGTAGACCACATCCACAGCCTTTCCCTTGTCCACTAGGCGGGTCACCTGGTCATAGAAGGAGATCAGGTTGGTCAAGCATGAAATGCTTGAATGGCATGAAAGATTTCTCTCACTTAACCAGTGGCTTGAACTATGGACAGCAGGGACTGGTGATCAGAAACCTAAGAAAAATTGTGTAGTTGTTCTGGGTTTGCTCAAGCTTGGAGGCTGCAGTGGCAAAAGCAGGGTTTGAGTCCCTTGAGCCTCATTGCTCAATAGTAGTAGTATGTTCTAGCAGTGGTTCTCTGATGGTGACTGAGCTTGTAGTATTTGTTATCTGTTGTCAGTCTCTAGAATTTGAGCATGTGTTCTGCTAGTTCAATTTAATCAGCTGCCAGAAAGCTGCACTTTATGCCTTGCTAATGTTGTGCTTCTTTCATGGTTAATCCTGAAGAGTAGCAAAACGCCAAGTGCTCTTCTTTAGTTAACAATGCCACGAAAAAGAATGATGAAGTCTGCAGCAGAGGGGGAAAACAGTTTCCAGACTTTGTGTCATATTGGATTGGGAGAAGTATGTGGCCATTAGGAAAATCAAAGCATGTGCTCCGTTTCAAGGAAGGAAGGGTGGATTTTATCCTTTCTGTAGTATTGTGCTTCATGCAAGGTAATGTCACTGCAACCTTGTACAAACTCTGCTCGAGTCTATTGACTTTTAAGTATGATGGAAGCAGGAGGACAACTCCATGCTTCTTTTCAGGAGAGCTAAGGACTGGGTGTTGCTGATGTCAGGTAATGGAAAAAAGTAACAAAATTATATTGAAGTTGTGCTAAAGGTAATCAGACAGATCTAGTATATTATAATTATTTTGAATTATGAGAATTAATTATATTCTTCATTTTTGAGGGTATGCTTAATTTCTGATGATTTCCAGCCAGAGGTGGGCTTTTTATGAAGGACTTCAGGTCTAATTTGAGAGTAAGCGGATTAATTCTCAAGTGATGTCTTCCATTCCTGTCACATCTGGAAAATAAATTAAGATGTAGATATTAACGGTAGCTGGTTTTCTATAATAAAGGAGAGAGCAGGATTATTAGTGATGTCTGATTTATGACTAGTGTAACTGTTTTTTGGTGGGTGTGTTTTCGTTTTTAAGACCATGACAGTTGAGTTCTTCTTCCATACATTTTACAGTTATATACATTGCAGGTGTGTGGTAATATACAAAGCTTTCAAATGCTGGGCCTGTCATAAGCTTTTCATTGATCATGTTAACATGGGAAGGCAATAATTACTTGGTAAGGCTGCTCAGAGGAAGAGGAAGCTTTCTTAATCCTGTTTGAACATATCTGTTTGAGATGTAGGAATATAAAAGTCTGCAGATGTATCTTACTGATGATGGATGAGCTGGAAAGAATCCAGTTAAATATTCAGTATTAGTACAAATACTTTAAAATAGAGAAATGTCAACATGTTACTGTAAAACCTTTTGTGTTTTTTAATATGAATTCATAGATACATTACTATTTACACTTAGCTGCATATTGTAGAACAACATCTTTTTTACTAGCAAATTGCAAAATATAACCATGTCCTTGCTCTTTTTTCACCCACTGGTTTATAGTGGTCTTCATGTTTTTTCCTACTCATTGTGAAGTGTTCCCTAGTTAGACTTGCACAAACACTAGGAAGTGAGTTAAAATGAAGTAAAAAGTTTAATCATCTGTGTTAGTAAGCTTTTCTATATATTATCACTTAAGTATACAGCTGTCTTGTAATGTGTGCATAAGCATATCCATATTTGTCTTTTTTTTCCCAGTTCTTTGGTGTTTGCTGTGGGGGTTTTTTTGGTGTTTTTTTTTTTTTACTTTCTGGTCTCACACAGACTTTACTGTTGCTAATACTGTAAAAATCTGGTCCTGCCATCATTAAAACCTCAGCAGAGCTCAGGATGATGTTTTGGAAAATTTTTTTTGACATACTGTGTCTGTGTTCAGAAAATTAAACACGGTATTAAAATGTCGTAAGTTGTTTCAGGTTTTGTGGATTAAATTGTACATGCCCTTGCATTTCTCCCTTAGCTTGTATTTTTTCCTGATAACAAAAACAAATTGAGTTTGTGTTGGGAATAGAGAGATAATGAGGGTATTCATAACACTGAACTTTGACCATTGGATGCAGATGCTAGCAATAACCATTGGAGGCCTTTCTCTACTGAATATAGATTGAGCTCAGCTTCTCAATTTGTAGCTAAGATGCATTATAATGATATACATACAGCACGTAAAAGAAATCTTTTTTTTCCTTCATGTCTTCTACATGCATCTTATAAAGGGGAAACACTGAAAGTAGAAGAAAATACTGTGCTATTTAAAAAAAAAAAGTTACGCAAGTGAGTCAGAATTTGTAGTGAATAATTTTGACCCCATAGAAGCAGTTGTGCTTCTTCTTAAATACTTCTGGGGTTCAGATGCTCAGTTTCTTGTCTGTCTTAGGTTCAACAGTGTCTGTGCGTCTCCCTTATAAAGCTGTTACACAGTTAAACAAATTGTACTTCTCAGTTCTGTTTTCTATTTTAATAATAATGCTGCTGTATGGAAAACGTTTTGAAAGACTAAAGTCAATTGTCTAGCATTTAGGAAATGTGAGAATCAATATCACCTGGCAAATTTTATTTCAGCCTTTTTATTCCTGTGTTCTGTAAGGCAGTTTAAGCACTATATATGCAGTTTCCCAAATAACCATAATAGAAACTACAGTCAACATTTTAAAAATTGCTTAAATTTCTTCTTGTAAAATGTGCTTTTGGTTAATGTGGAAGTGTTTTCTCTGTGACACTCGTTCTCTGTGCAGACGCACATGCCTGCTTTGGTGATTGTGGGCATTAACACGTTAATTTATTATCATTATTATTGTATTCTTACCTGCTAGATAATGTGATATGGCTATCATGAATAAGTATAAGTTTATTCTCCCAGATGAATAGAGCTTATGTACTATAAAAAACAAATACTAACTACCATGTGAAAATTCCTGTGCTTGCTTGCTTTCTATCGTTTATTTACAAATTTGAATTCTCAAGGGTAATGGGGCACTACAGGCTAAGGGTAGGGTCTTGGGGCAGGCAATGTTCATTATGTTTCCATCGTACTCTGTAAACTGCAACCCAATTCAGTTCTTCTCTTGAAATACTAGCAGAGAGAGACTACTGAATAACAATCCTTTAACTCACCATTGCTCACCATCCCCTTACCACCTTTTTAAAAAAAATTCTTCATATGCATCAGTGCTGGAAATTACACAAAGGCGAGACCAAACCTATTCAGTTTCCCTTCATAATCAAGTTGGAGTAATATCTCTGTTCCTATGTGAAAGGTAATAATTAGAATAATGAGGTGCTTAATTTCTCAGCAGAAGCCTTTTTGCATTAACCTCTCAATTTCACAAGCATAAATGTGAATTTTTGAAATTTTACTTCTCAAAATGCTGTTATCCAAGAATATGAATTCTCTCCTTGTTTCGGTATGGAGTTTTTGTTCTTCCCTCATCAACATCTGTCATCATTGCTCCAAGCTAAATGGATGGTAAAGTAACAAGGAAGATTATTCTTCTTTGATTACCCAATTTGTCTTAATTATAAGCTTCTAAAACATGTGCAGCTAAACAAATGAGCAGGAAAATGTTTAGAACTGGTATTAAAAGCAGCTGAAATTCCTTCAGCTGTGAACTTGACTGACGTGTATGTTTTTTAATAAAGTTCAGGTCTGAGTTCGCATATAGGTGGTTAAAGAAATGAGGCACTTGTGTGCCAATCACACTGAAATGGCAGTTTAAATCTGTAATACTGTAATACTTGGGTGACATGTACTAAAACATTTTGAGAAGGTCAGTATGAAGCAAGCAGCCAGCTGTTGGGTTTATCATAGATAAACTCCTACAGAGTGCAGCAGCATTTAATACACTAGTGGAGCATGAAAAAACTGTGCAAATAAAATTGAGAAGCAGCTGCTTGTAGAAGATGTGTATCTTTATATTAAACTTTGAACGGTACATTTAGGAGGCTGTATTAAAACTTACTATCAAAAATCTCCAACCAGAACCTTGGATTTTTGTTAAGAATAGTAATTGTGGAGATGTGTAACTTCTCTTTATACAAATTTGTTTATATAGAACACATCTTAAATCAATGGAAGGGCAGAGAAAATAAGCCCTGCAGAATTCAGATGGTTTTTATTTACAAACAAGCAGTCTCTTTATCTCAAGGTTACAGGTCTCATTCTGCATGTGGTATTTTGCTTTTTAAAAAAAATTATTTTGATTCCTTTTGAAAATGAGTATGCTCATTTACATGAGGTATTTATTTTAGTAAATGCTTAATGTATACTCAAACACACATTTATGCACACACATACACTTTTTTTTGGAGAAGAATATTTCATAAATGTATGGTAGTGATTTAGGCCAAACTATAGCCAGTGCTGGATACAGCGTGGAAGGACAGAGATGGTACCAGGTGCTCCATTGCTCCCCCACAGGAATATCTTGTGCCTCCATTGCTTTTGTGGGGAGGCAGACAGAAGATGCAGTTTTTATATAGTAATGAGAAGAATCTTATTTTTTGCATATAACATTGTATTAAGTTAGGAGATTGTGCTGGCATGCTGGAATGTTTATACTGTAATAAAAACAGTGATGAGCTTTACTCCCTATCTGAGCAGCAAGAAGTTTGGCAGAACACTTGAATATCTCAGCTTGTTCTCTGGCAGTTAGCATGCTGTCATATTTATACTATGTTATTTAAAGACAAGGTTGTAACTCATCTTTAAATTTTCTTTGAGTCTTCCAGTAGTTACAGTGCTGTGACCAAACCATAAAGACAAAGAAATGCAGTTGTTGCAAGTAAATGTGTATTTAGGTTATACATTCTTCTCATTGTTTCAAGTTTTCATGTTTTAAAGGGAATTTACCACTTAGCATCTCAAACCTGAATGATTTAACAGTAGGGTAAAAACTTGTTTTCAAATACACAAGTGAAAAGAGTCTGTGAGATAGGACGCTATGGATCAGTCAGTATTGTGACTTATGTTAGATTTACTAAGAAATTTCTTGTAGAGTGAGGTGAGTTAATGGCTTCTAAGTAGTTTCTTACTGTTACCGGGATTTTTCTGTTATCCGGTTATCACAGACTGTTTTTGGGGAAAATGCTAAATAAACAGTCTGTCCACCAATTTTGTACATTGCAAGATCATTGTTTTCTTTTGAAAATATACATGTATATTTGAGCTTGCTACTGAACCTTTCATATCTTGCTTTTTTGGAATTTCTGTTTGTGTATATGAGTTGTATATAACTAACATGAAACCTAATAATTCTGAATATGATAAATTCCAGCGTTGCAGGTCTAAAGACCACCAATGAGAAACACGCTGATTTGGGAAACATGGAAAATCAGGGTTACATGTAGCTCCTTATTAGTATAACCATCAGCTTCAGTATTTCTCTCATCTGTAGACAGCCAGTTAATAACAGGTTAATAAACATGCTGTTTAAGTGCAGCTAAAACCAGGTTCTTACTGCTCTGGTCCAACTGATTTTTTTTTTTTTTTTTTTATATTGACACATGAAACAAAGAAGAGGGAGAATAGGCTAAACAGTGGTAGAAGATTGGAAAAAAAACAAAAACACAGCAGCATGGATGTGGATGCAGATTTAAGTAGGTAGTAACAGGTCTGTGCTGAACCCCTGGTATTCAGGGAGATTGGAAAATTGCAGTATGTGGGTAATGAAAGAGCCAAGGGAAGAAGTGTTTCTGGCAGCATCATGAGTCGTCTTGAATGCAGGGAGTAGATTCTATGATTCTATCAGAATAGAACAGAAGTTTGCCTTCACTAGTGATATATTTACTGTTAAACATTAATGACTGGGAAGATCATAAAGTGCTGAATTAGCGTACGTGCTAAGGGTCGAACATAGGATATTTCAGCTCCGTTACGTCCAAAGCCTCTAGTTGTATCCCATGTCATCTGGGAGCTCGTCGGTTGAAAGTGGTAGCTACACATCTCGGCAATTGTAAGGCTGTTTTCTTGAATATTTTAAGATAACAGAAAGTAGCAATCTTGACTTTCTGTCTATGACAGTTTGCTCCCACCTAGTGACTTAGCAAGGGGTAGAAAATAGTTTCTGGAATTTTGCTAAAACAGAAAGATTTTTTTGGGAGAAACACTTTGTTTTTTGGAGTAGTTTGTCTCAGTTGACTTGAATTGTGCATGCTGTGTAGAACAGATTTTGAGTTTGTCACTAACTGATGGTTTGTGACAATGAGAGTTGGATCTTTTAGAAAGTGTTCATTATGTAAGAAGAAAATTGTCTTCTGCTGCAAGGCTGTCTGTCTTTTGGTAACTGAGAGTTTCAGGAGATTATGAAGATGTCTGTCAAAGGCAGACTTGAGGCTGAAGCTGTTACCATTGTGTTGTATTTAATTACTGGACACTAAGGTCCAGATTCATGCTGTCGCATTTTATGCCCCTCAGGGCTGAAGATTTAGACCTATTACCCTCCAGTTTGTTTATGGCCAGTGAAGAAGAGTACAGCTAAGTAACAGTCTGTTCATCTGAGTTTCAGATAGGCATTTCTGTAATACAACTCAGGTATGTTTATAAATGAATGCAGCTCCTACCCGTGTTGCTTAAAACTAGTTAGTTTTGGTGATACTAACAGGTATAACTGTAACAATGCAAAGTCTGACTGATGCTGTGTCATAGGTACTTCATAACTATATGCCTAGACCTCAGTGTTGCTGTGACTACCTGTATAATTCTGTTCCTCCCCTTCCCACCCCTGCCCCATCATGAAAGTATCTGTCTGCCTTAGCTTTATAAGTAATATCAAACTCTTCATGTGCGTTTCACGTTGCATAAAAAGCAGTGTGGAGCACCAAGTAAGAGCCATCAGAAGAGAAGGGTGATGGTAGCCCAGCCCTTGATCCAGACAGGCAGAGCAATCCCAGTGGCTTTGAAAAGCCTTACTCTATAGTTCAGCGTGTGAGCTGCTGAACTCCAAATACGCATTCTCTGCCGGCTTCTAATGTACTTTCCTTCAAACACATTTCTAGCATCTGTAACATTTACAAGGCACTTTGAAATCTGCAAATGGTGAGTATAATATAGCAACAAAATGTTGATAGCAGTAACCTAATTTTATCTGCTCTTTTAGGTGGGTCCACATTGTTTGTGCCCTCTATGTTCCAGGAGTGGCATTTGGAGATATTGACAAACTGCGGCCAGTAACGCTTACAGAAATGAATTATTCAAAGTATGGTGCCAAGGTAAGTTTAGAAGAGACGTACTGCCAACGAGTAGCTTTATTTTACATTTTTACATATAATAGAGTAACATATATCTTCCCAATTTTCTTCTTTATAGCAATTGCAGTGAGGTTCAGGACTAAAAATGAGATGAAGTTTGTTCATGGTTGTGACGCCATTGCTCTTCCCTCCCTCTTTCTTTCGATTTTCCTTACCACTATTATCCATAATTTCTGTCTTTGTTTTCCCCCTAACTTCCCTTATTTTTTATGCAGGTGCTAATTGCTTTCTTGTAAAGTCAGTTAGTGGCAGATTGCCCAAATGTGGATGGAAAGTGAAGAGGATTTATGGGATGCGAAATGGAGAAATGGAAGGTTAGGTTGATTAAGAAAGTGACAGATGTACATTCAGTAAGAATTACTTTAGAGTCTATATAATTATAAGCTAGAATGCATACAAAAAGGTTGCTGCAAAGCAGTATTTGAAAAAACCCGCAAGATGGGGTCCTCAACTTGAACAGAAAAATGGCTCTAAAATGGAAATGGTTTTACATGTAAATGTTTTCAATCCAGATCAAAAGTGATCACGCACAAACCATACAGAAAACCATTGCAATGGGCAGAGGACAGCACTCGGTAATTTGCTAAATACTGTTTCTGTATGGGGACAGTGTGGAGAAGCCATATCTATCAGGCCAATGTGAGGGAACGTGGTTGTACTCCTGCTCTAATGCTTCATTTGTGCATAGTCAATTTCATTTTTCTGGAATGTCAATTTGTCAAGTTGAATACTAAATGAAAATACATAGTACATTTTAAAAAATACATATACTATACAAAATAAATTAAAACACTTTGGATTGCCCATGTGCAACATACCTGTAAGAGGAGCATGTTCAGCATGGACCTGCAGAGGCATTTAGCATTATTTAGAAATGTTTGTGTTAAAAAAAAAAAAGTCAGAGCAAGCTCCCAAAACCCTACAAACTGTTGTTGCAATGAATCATGAAGCATTTTTTTTTTTTTTTTTTATTAACATGAGTGATGTATAGAAGTAAGGTGAAAGTGAACTGCACAGATGTGAGGACTCATTACTCTCTCAGAGCTGTAAACAAATGTTGTTTGCTGTATCAAGTGTGGAAGTGACAGCTTACTCAGCTAAATTTCCCTCTGCAAAACCAGCTTAATATAATATTCTTTTTCACTTCATTTCTTATCTGTTACGTGTTGCTGTTGCACAGCCAAAGGGTGCCCTTTTGGCATAGCGTATGCAGTGTTTTGAGATTCTTCAATCACCAAGTTTTCTTTGCTGTTCCTTTCGGTTGTTGTTTAACTTTCTGCATGGAGATATTTTCTGTAGGTGATGCACAGCTTTGCTCTGTATTCAGTGTGAGAGATTAAGAAATGCACACCTGTATAATTTTGGATCATCTTTATGCACTGGATAGCCTGTGTTCCTATTTGCTTGTTCCTGCTTATGTGCTCATGACTCTAGTTTGCTGGCACAGCTGTTTGGTATGAATTTGTGGTGAAACAGACTGAGGAATTGATCTGGCTGAAAAATAAGTGTGGTTTTTTTTTTCCAGGTCACATTAGGGGATGACAGTTTGCTGTGTTGCAAATGGCTGTGCCTAAAATGCACGTGGCTGAAGCCCTAGTGCGGTGTTTAAGTCAATCGCAACCTTTACTGATATTTAAGATTCTTGAGTATTTCTGCATTGTCACACACTTGCTCCTTAGTTGTTGCTTATCAAAGGACATCTATGTAATTATCTATGGTTTTCAGTCATCCAGAGCACTGCTCTTTTTTTTTTGTTGTTTGTCCTCTGAACTTCTTGAACAATTGAACACTTGCTGAGCAGTAATGTTCTATGATACTATACTTATATAAGTAATTGTGCATGAATTGCTTGGGTGATATTTAGTTGTTGCTCTGAAGGGAAATACAAGACACGGAAGTTGATATACAAATTCATCCAACATTCTGTTTAGGTTGTTTAAGCCCTTTTCCATTGCTAGTTGAAAATGAAGTCAACAGTGGGGGTTGGGAAGGGGTGAAGTTTTAAGTAGTGTCAATTGTCAGCAGCATACTTGGTTTCTGTACCACACAGGAGTAAACCTACCTATTTGCTTTTTATATGTAAGATGTAAATTATCAAATATTAGGCAAAACACACCTGAAATATTTACTGTGGCATTTTCCACTCTTCTTTATAAAGGAATGCAGTTTTTGCGAAGATCCTCGTTTTGCCAGAACTGGTGTATGCATTAGTTGTGATGCTGGGATGTGCAGAGCTTATTTCCATGTGACCTGTGCTCAGAAGGAAGGCCTCCTCTCAGAAGCAGCAGCAGAAGAGGTAGCTATGGAAAGGATAGAATAAAAGAGTTGTATCGAAAGCTTATGAAGGTGACCTGAAATTGTGCCTTTTTTGCTCACTAACCCTGAGCAAGGTTTTTGTAAATCAGTAGCAAGTCATAGGCCCCGAGTAAAGGGACTGTCCAGGGAGCGCTCTTTGTTCACCAAATTGTCTGACTCTGAGCACCTTTTGAAACGGCCAGGAAAAAGGGATAGAGAATGTTAACACAGAAGTTGCCTTAATAGACTATCAGTCAATACAGACATAAATTCTAACTCTAATTCTTGAACCTCACCTAGGTTGACATACTTACCTAGCTGTTTATGTAGTGTAGTAATCTCTGTTTCATACCAAATGGGACTGTCTTGAGAAATTAACTACATTTCTAATGCCATTTTTGCATACATGTTTTCCAGTATTTTCTTCAAATTGCAGTACAGGTATATGACTTCCTTGTGGTAACATTAACCTTAGGAATCGGAATGAAAAGCAAACATTTATAACCTACTGGTAACTTTTTAATATCTGTTCTTACCAGTTTTCTTCCTGTAATATGATTAAAGCAATTTAGATTTGAAGCTCCTACTTCTGAATTAATTTTTACAGTATAAGTACTTTTTGGTTGCCAAATTTCATCTTGATACGTATAATTTGGATTAAGCATGTCATGTTCATAGCTGCACAATTTAACTTCTTACTGCTTTAGGAAGTACCACAGGTAACACACAAACAAGCATTACTTGCACTATTGATACTGACACTTCTGTTTCTGTAAACAGCAGGCCGCTAAGTAATTCTTAAAGGAATCATGAAATACTTTCTTCTGTGAGATTGATAAATAGGAAGATAGTACAATTACCTTGTTGTTGTCCCTAATAAATTATGTGTAATGTTGATTCTTCAAACACTCTGTGTGAATTTCTTCTAGGCATATGCATTTGCTTGCCTTTCCACCTTAAAAGTTTGTTACATGTTTTCTGTAACCAAAATATTTTTAACCAAGGCCTCAGAGTCTAATTTTAGGGTGCTGCTAATTTTTGGAATTTAAGTTGTCTCACACTCTGAAAATCTAAATCAAAATAAAACACGTTTGTAAGGAAAGCCTGCGTAGATTTTATTGGTCTGTGTTTTATAGGTGGAGTAAAGGAAAATTTGATAGGCGAATTATTGATTAATATTTTTATTACTTTATGAAGGAAGACTGCTTTAAATTCTTTGTAGTCTGTAGATTCATGATGATGTTTCTACACTTTTGAAAATATACTGGCAATGAAATATACTTCTCAAACCGTATCTCCTCATGGCTCAGATATTTGTAGTCTGCTTGCAAGGTTTGCAAGTGCTGAAAGTTGCTATAAACTTACAGCCATGATAATGTGCAGATCTGATGGAGCAAAGAATGAAAAATGGAAAAAAAAAATCATCTGAGATATGATAAATCACGTGGGGGTATAGCCACCAAAAACATTTGGAAAATCATTTGAGAAAACCAAATGTATTGCCTTTTGTATTATTCAGAATTGTTGATCCCTTGTAGGATATAATGCAAAAGATGACACAGTGAAGCAAGAGGAAGTTAACAATACATGTTATATGTTAAATGGATTTGTACTTAGCAATTTCTTCTGCTATTTCTTCTGGGAATGAGAAAATAGAAATTGAACAATAGAGAGTTAAATAGTTAATGCATTTAAAAATGCTTAGGGTCACGCAATGAAAAAAGTGAAAAAACACTTTATATGGTAAATAACATCAACATGACAAAATTGATTTAGAAACATACATATTAGTTGTTTTTAAAAACATGTCTATTTGAACATGTGAACCGATTGCCAGAATGTTTGTGCTGTTCAGAGCCTTTTGGCCTTGTATGTCTTACTTTATTTTCGTTCCTTTCCCTTTGTTTTCTCTGAAACAGGATATAGCTGACCCTTTTTTTGCTTATTGTAAACAGCATGCAGACAGGTTAGACAGAAAATGGAAGCGGAAGAACTACTTGGCATTACAATCTTACTGTAAAATGTCCTTGCAGGAAAGAGAAAAACAGCTCTCGCCAGAAGCTCAGGTATTGTATTCATGACACAAATGCATCTGTATTAATCATCCATGTTAAACAAGAATGAATGAAGAGGATGGGAAATTGTTATTATAGTAGGAAATGAAATGTGAACTATATTGATAGCGCATGGTCATTTAAAGCAGTGAATTATTTGTAGGTTTTGGTCTCTAAGCACAATTCTTGATAAACTAATTATGAAATAGGGATATATATGCTTGTCTGAATTGAAAAATCTTACTGTGTTTGTTTTTGTGGCAAAAAGATGGTAATTACATTTTCATTGTAATTCATAGATTTTGTTTAACGTTTTCTTCAAGATTCTTAACTAAAAAAGATAGCCAGACAAGGAAATAGGTATATTTCTACATTCAAGTTCAGTAAAAATCCACTTTTTTCCCTTAGTAATATCTTGAACTTGGCAGAAGAGTTTAGCTTGCCTAAAGTTTTATCTTCTTAGATCCTTTTTCACTTTTTGTAGGCCTAAGTAGAATTCTGTGTGCTGGGTTTTTTCATAGTAAAGATTTCCTAGAAAAAAACTGAGTCTGTGCTGCTGTCTGGGAGTTGTCTGAAAATCTTAGGCAAAGTCTGTATCCCTGTCTAGTAGCAGATTCATGTAAAATTACTAGTTACTGCATAAGCTCATCCGAGAAACGTCCTGTTGATATAAAGTTTTCAATCCTTCTGAGGGAATCTGTGTACTTTGATATGTTTTAATGTGTGTACTTTATTGTTTTTTCTGATTCTAAGGAATTTATAGTATACTCTGCTTTCACTGCTTAGACTGAACTGCATTCTTTGGAAAAATCATACCTATGTAGAAAAGTAGCTCATCTGAATGAATCCTGCCTAATTTGTTGCAGAAAGTAGCAGATGCTGTAAATAACGGAAGGCAGTTATGGGAGAGAAATAACTGCTTTTTTTTCTGAAGGGAGGACTGTAGTGTAATGATCAGAAAATAAATCTTCATATCATCAAACTTTTTATTTAAGAAAATCATACTTTTCTAGTTCTTCAGAGGTCTTTGAATAGGAGAAGAGAATATTAATTTAAAATGACCTGTGCATTTGAGAATGAATATGAGCAAACTCTATCCTGGAAGAATTTTGAATAAAATATTTCTATTCGGTATGTATTGAGCTTCGTGTAGCTTGATTTAAAACTGGTTACATAATTATTCTGAATACACTCAGCTCTCAATTATGTGAAATGCACCTATGTAGTGGAGAAATCACAATAATATGAATACTACCCAGCATAATGGTAAGTAGTAGCTGTGCAAAATGAGTTTGGGTCCAACAGGGCTTATTAGTTCTGTTTTCAGGCATTTGTTATGTGGTACTGATAATGCTGGTAAGTTCCCAGCATCTCCCTCTCTTCCTCCTCTTTCCGCCAAACCAAGACCCTGCAGATTTTTAAATCTAAATTGTTTGGATGAAACGTTTAAAAACTGAAAGAATGAATGCTGACAACTGCAGGTGGAGTTATTTGACATGGTGTCATAGGCATCTTGATCCAAATTTGATAACTTGCATACATGTTGTAAAACCACTTGATTTCACTATTGATGGCTCTGGTGTTGTACGAGTTTGCATTAGTATTGTGTGTGTGTGCCTGAGTTTACATGGATGGAAACAGATTGGATGCTTGAAAAATACATTTCCATGTCCAGTTGTATGTATTGGGTTTTATGAAGTAATTGTTTGAGTGGTTTCTGTGCCTTTTTAGAAATGCAGAGCTGTAAGGGGTACTTAATAGATACTAGAAATGTCAGACTGGGGAGTTGACACAAAGTACATATAAATTCATCCCTTACCTTACCATATGTTGTCTGCATGAGGAAGTTAAAATCCCACCAGTAAATTCAACCATCTTTGTTAAACCAGGATTTTGTCTGAGAAATACGAATCTTGGGACAGCTTAGTCTGGGAAAAAAGATTAAGAAGTAAATATATATATATCTAGTGTGTGTGTATATATGTATGTACATACAAAAGCTTACTTCCAGGGGAGTTTGTAGGCTTAAGTAAGATTTACAAACATTGAGCTAACATAAGTAAGTATGCAGCTGTACAAATAATTTATCTGGTATTGTGAAAGTGAATTTTTGAGGCACTTTTGAAGGAGAAAAAAATGGATATTTCGTGCTTTGTAGCCCAGGCAGGAATAACTGAGCCAATGGTCTGGCAAGTCTGTGGCCCAAGAAAGTAAATCCCTCTAAAGAATATAATATATAAAGCTGTCTAGGACTGTTATGGATTGTTGGAAGATGTTCTACATTGAAATACTTTTTTTTAATATCAATAAAGGAAATGTACATTCCTTGAGTAAAGCGTATACTTGAAAATTGCTTAAATCCAAGTAACTTGAGTTCAGGATTCCATTTAGCCTTTAGTCATTTTAATCTGTCATCTATTTCTGGAATAAAGCTCTGGGTATACAGTTGTATGACATCTTAAATGACCCCAAGAGTTTCAGAACTGAGCATGTAATCAGTAAAGAAGTGTCTTAGCTGAGGAAGCTATAAACCATCCTTGGTCCTTCCAGTGGAGAATAAAACGAGGCGGTGGCTTTAGGTGGATCTGTTGTTTGCTGCTGTGGGTCCACGAAAAATGTCCTTAGGGTCAGAGCTGGCCTGCAAGCCACATTTGCCGTGTTTCTTTGTCATTAATGTTCAAGATCTAGTGAGGTAAGGTGTGTTAAACTATCTGTAATGTTACCTTCAGCGATGCTATTTGTAATCAGAGATGTTCCTTAACCATAGTGTGTATATGCATGCACACTTTTTTGCTTTTGTCTCAGGAGTATCTCATACCATATGGTGGGGCAGTTGGATTAGTTTAGTTTCTTCTTTCTGCAGGCAAGTAAACAACTTCTAACTGATAGTCAGCTGGAGTTTTGCCTCTGAAGGTTTGTATGTTGATGTCATTTTCTGCTAGAATTGCCACTACATAGAATTCCCGCAAGACAGTGTTTTCCAACTGGCAATAACAACTTGATCTTCTGGGGTTGATCTCCCAGACAGTCACAAATATACAGATGTCATCAACAATATATATTGTGAGATTCTCTTGCCTACTTCACTTCTGTTTGGGTTGTGTTTTTGGCACATTATAATCAACTAGTTTAACATTTATAAGGAGATAATGGCATTGAGAAGGGATGTCAAATATGGCGAAAATGCTATTCATCAACTTTTATTGCTCATGTAGATACCAATTTAAAGTGTATCTAAATGTATTTTTTATAGGTCAGCTCAAGGCTTTTCCCAGTAGTGAGTTTTCACAGTCCCATCAAATTATCATTATTAGAAGGGATTGTCTGAAAGCCAGCAATAATTTGTGTTACTTTCATTGGTGGGGAAACCTCCTCAAGAAACCTGTGAATATCTCCAAAACCTAGTGAAAGGATAATGTTATTTGTGTATGTGTTTTGAAGTAAAATCAAATGTCTATATCAGTGGCTGTTTCTTGAGTCATAGAGTTCCGAAATGAAAATAGCGTTGATTAGATCATGCAGCTTTTAAAATACAAATAAATTGTGGATGTGTTCCAAAAGACTATAACTCAAAACCAGTTTTGAATTGTTCCCTTACACTTTTAATTTATGGAATTCTTTATTGCAGGCTCGAATCAATGCCAGGCTACAGCAGTATCGTGCCAAGGCGGAGCTGGCCCGCACCACCAGACCTCAGGCCTGGGTTCCCCGGGAGAAGCTACCACGACCACTTACTAGCAGTGCTTCAGCCATACGTAAGCTTATGCGCAAAGCTGAGTTAATGGGAATTAGTACAGACATTTTTCCAGTGGATACTTCAGATACTAGTTCCAGTGTTGATGGAAGAAGAAAACATAAACAGCCAGCTCTCACTGCTGATTTTGTGAATTATTACCTTGGTAAGAATGAAAATTGCATATTTTTCTCAATGAAAAATTATTGCTTTGCTGTACCTGTACTGTGCTGATTCATTGGCTTTTTTATTTTACTTGTATTTCTTTGTTATTAATAGATAAATATGACTTATGACTTCATTTTAGATCAGGTATATTTATTATTGCTTGCTATCTGTATTTACACAGAAAGTTAGTGATTTTTTTAAAAAAGACATTTCGGAGAAGAAGAAAATCTTTCAAATATAAACAGGAGGCAGTGTCTTTGCTAAGAAGGGAGTGGAAGCTTCGGTACCTTTGGTGTCATTTTTTTTCTTATGTTTTCCTCCCTTTCTGTGTGGAATGGCGTGGTTTTGTCTTTGGTACTGTTTGCTAGGTGTCTGATCAAAGCTCACCATCTAAATAACTATACTAGTTTTGCAGCAGAAAGTAAATGTTATGACTGTTCATTCTACTCAGTCTGTATAATAAACCTATAGGCTATAGTTTTGTGGTTTTGTGTTGTCAGGGTTTCATGCTTTTCATTGCTTCACTTTTTTCAGTGCATAAAACTTGAAAATATAGCCAAGGATAGGAAATAATGCAGTTTTCTTTTAAATAGAGAGAAATATGCGCATGATTCAAATCCAGGAGAATATGGCTGAACAGAAGAATATCAAGGACAAATTAGAAAATGAGCAAGAAAAGCTTCATGTGGAGTATAATAAGGTGAAGAAAAAGGGATAATAAACCATTGTACTGTTTTAGTATTGCTGCTGTTAACTTTGATAGCATTTTGCTTTCCAAACTAAATGACTTAGAAAGAAATATACAAACCATTCTTTCTTTAAGAGAAATACTTACAAATATATCTCTTCTTTTAAAAATATTCTGTGGTCCACCCCCCCCCACAAGCAAATCAACTTCTAAAATGTCATATGTTGGCTGGGCACAAGTTCTTTAACTTGACCCCACTGAGAGCTCCAGTAACAAATTGCACATGGACAGACAGGTCCCTTTCATGAGTGAACTATGTCTTAAGGCCCTTCTTTTTTTCATTCTTTGTATGCATTTCATTTGAGATTTTGAGACAACAGAGTTCAACTCCTCTCTCTCTCTCTGTTTTTTTGTTTTGTTTTGCTTGTGTGTAGTTCTAGGGTTTTTTTGAACCTGCGTGGTTCTTTGCTTAGAACCCTACTTGATAATTGGGAATTTAGGATTGTCAGTGTGTTATTTATTTATTTATTTATGTCAACTCCAACTCCCGTTGTGTTCAACCTAGATTTAATGACTTGGCTAATTTTTCTGGCTGCAATGATCAGTATTCACATATCCATAGTGTCCTCTGAGTGTTTTGTTTGATAATAGGAAATTTGGGACCCATAAATGATAGCATTGCTCCCCCAAAATGTTGTTAATGTATTTTTTTTATTAACTCATCATTGTAGTTAAAAAAGCATTTTGTGTTTTAATTGCATTTTTACTAAATAATTATTTCTTTATTTTAATCTTTAAATATTTTGAAATGGAACATAGAATTACTGTATCTTTTGTGACAGATGACATGCTGCAATTCTTGCTGAATTCAGCAACCTATCAAGTGATGGTTAGTGATGACAAAAAATAGTGTTGCTATTAATTCTTAAACTGTTGACTGTGTGTTTTAAATGAGAACATATGGAAATGAAGCAGCAGGTCCTGGTGAACTGCCCAAGGATGATAAAGGAGGAGGAGATTGTGTGTGGGGCTTTTAACCAAATTAATAGGTTGTATATGCTGTGTGGTAACTAGCAGTTACTTCCAGAAGAAAAAAAACCACCTTTTTTTCTGCTTGCATCCTTTAATAAATTAACTCTCTTTCTGTGAGAGTGAGTGAACGTTCTTTGGTTCATATGTAATGTAATAAATAATAAATTTATTTATTTAAATATATAATATTATAGAATAATAATTTATTATATAAATAAAATAATAAAGCTCTATATGTAATATAGAGCTTTAATTCATTTATGTGGTTACTTGTTATAATCTTGTTGCTTAAGTAGTATGGACAACGCATACAAGATGTTGCTGTAATTTAGTTTTGCTTTCTAATTGACTTTATGAAACCTTATTTTCATGCTGAAATGCTTCAGATCTTCTTTACAAAACAGGTGGCTGCCCAGATTTTCATCTTAGTTCCATTAAATTGCTGAATGATTGCACAGGTCTCAGCTATGTTGACATGAGTTCCGTTGTTTTTTAATCCCACAGTAAAGTAATGCACCCTAGATAGGTAAGAGGTTGAATAAATTTTATTAAATAACTCTTAATGGATTTTCATTCCTGTTGATTTTTTTTTTCTTTAACTTTTCAGCTCTGTGAGTCCTTGGAAGAGCTACAAAATATGAATGGAAAACTGCGAAATGAAGGGCAAAGCATTTGGGCTCTGCTGGGTAGAATCATTGGACAGGTTGGTTGGTTGTTTTTTTTCCCCCTCTTTATAGTTTATAGGCAGACATGGTTTTCCAAGAATAGGCCTTTTTGTTTCTCTCTGTCACTTCTATGGCCGAATAAATTGATTTGATCAGACCCAGGCTTTACTCTGGGGATAATGTTTCCTGATTGAAATACCTAGACTTCTGCAAACCACCTACTGGGAACCTGTGGCTTAATTTTGTTGTTGTAATAGCGGTTGTGTTTGCAAAATTCTTTCATTTGGTATAACTGATTGACCTGTCATTTGTGATGAACCTTATGTGAAGCACGAATTAATCCTACCCTTTTTGTCTCTATGTTGTCTTTAGTTACTGTAGGCTTCAAATGATATGGTAACTCTTTATGGCTTTTTATAAGTTATAAATCTTTAAAACTGCAGTATGTATGTGATGATTTTTAACTGGACAGAGCAGAATATTTTGGTCAAATGAGTATAAATATCTAGGAGAAGAGAAGATTTGGATTATTTCCTGTTGCCAGCAATTATCTTTGTTCTCATTGATACAGAGAAAAGAGAGAAGTATAGATTCTTGCTGTGTTTTGATATATGTTTTATGTCAGAGGTATTAAATGGCAATGGACATTTTAGATGTCAGAGAGAGATTGAAATGATTTCCAATTATAATTTTAAGGAAGATCGAAGAAACTGTTCATTGTGAAAATGCAGACATACAATTAGGTCACAATTTTGTCATGCTCTTTAGTACTGCTGCGCTGCTGTTCAGAAAATGAAGCTTACCCTTTCTTTATGCAGTAGTAGTTCTTAAGCTATGCTAGCTTTTTCTGATTCTATTTGTCTGCCTATCTTTTCTACTTGTGAAGAAGGATTCTCACATAACGTATCTCTTGAATCAAGATTCCTCCCCCCCCCCCTTTTAAGATGGCTTTGAGTAAGTATTCACAAATATGTTTCCTGGTGCAAATGTTACTAAAATAAAAGAAGAGGAAAAGTTAAGTAGAATTCATTTGCGCAGCTTGCATGACTTTTTTTTTTTTCCAGTTGGGTGAACAGATGCAGACCCACGGGGCTGCTGAGAAATGACTTTGATAGATGGTTGCTGTCTGAGAAGCTAGCATACTGCAGATTAGTAGAAACCCAAAGAGAATCTTGTCTGCTTTGTGGAGGGCTTGGTCCAATAAGATAATTTTTCTAATTAACCTATCGAGCACCAATGTAGCAGGGATGTTGGGAAAAATAAACTGCCTCAGTATTCTTCTGTCAATTTTGTGAATTTGCCTTTGCTTGGTTCAGCTGCCTAGACAAATGCGTCCTTGTCCATCCCTCTATTTGAAGCTTGAAGAAAGATTTTAAAAGCTAGTATTTCAATATGTTTTTTATTTATTGAATTGAAAAAAATGAGTATATTACTTTATCCCAGTATGATTTTGTAATATAAACATCTGTAGTTGCTCTTGTCTGCAAAATAGCTGGCTAAGCAATTTCCCACTCATAATTTGAGTCTTTTTCTTCATGCATTGAGATTGGAGTGGTATTCTCTAGAAGTCTCAAGACTCATGTGTACTGCATTTGTTCAAATCCAATAGAAATTGAACATACCAGCAATTTTACGTGCTCCTAAGGAAAGGAAACCAAGTAAAAAGGAAGGAGGAACGCAAAAGACATCTACACTTCCAGCTGTACTTTATAGGCAAGTAATGAAATCTTAATAGAATAGATACAATATCTAGTAAGTTACAGTTTCCCGAAAGTGTTAAGAGAAAATTGTTTGCTTCGGTTGTGATTAACAAAGTGCTTCAGAGTTGTCTATATGTTTTACTTACTTCTGAAGGCTAAGTTGAATAGTAGTCAATTCTTCACCTTAGCACACATCAGTAAGGTTTGGGTTTTTTTTGCTAATTTGACAGCAGTGCTTTAAGGACCAAGGTAACTCTTTACAGCTAAAATAGAAGGGTCCTTTGTCTCTGTGATGTGAAAATTTTTCACTGGTCATCTTGTCTTTTGAATGCAATCATATGTGTTGGTGATTTTGCGAACAGTGCTGCTGCTGTTTAGTCACAGTGGCTGGGAGCATGAAACACTTGTCATAAAAGAATTTTTACTTTTTGCTCATGGGTTGTCAAATGCTTTGGGATATCTTGAGTTTTAAATTCCCCTACGTCTATTTCTATTAATTCTCAAGAAAATAAAATGTATTCACTTACTCTGTCATTATTGCACCTTTTCCCCTCTTCTATAAGTTGTGAAGCTACTGACTGGGTTTTAAACATATACTAGGATCCCAGAATATGACTGTGTGAAATACACATATCGTCTTGGATCATCTTCTCTTGCCACCAGCTGATAAGTAGCACGGTCTGTCGCTTATCTAGAGAGCAGCAGCCAGGCCTCCAGCCACAGCCAAGTGGGCAGTATCTTGCCCATCTAGCAAGCTAATTGAAGAAGATGGGTTACATAAGCAAAAGTTAATTCTAGTGCTGTGAAAGGTGGAAATCTTGAGAACGTGGCAGTGGGGCGAGGATTTGGCAATTTAGACGTATACACAAACAAATAATAGGAGTCATGCTTTACTAGTTCTGTTTCATTCAAATCCAGTCATTTAGTTCCTCCCATTTTATAATGGAATCAATGAACACCTGATCTTTTTGAAATAACTAAAACTTCAATTCCCGTAAAACAGTAATAGTAATAGAAAGGAAATGTAATTTCTTATGAGTTGATACATTGCCCAACATAATAGCAGCACAGACCTATTTCAGGGTGCTTGCATTATTAAAATAAGCATATGATTGTTAACACTGATAATAGCAGCATAATTTTCTATTGAAGCGTTTGGATGGCACAGGTGGTATTTTTTCCATTTGCCACTGGTACATTTTGTCAGAAGTATCAAGTGATTACTTACTGGTTAGAAGTCCTCAAAAAATTAGGTTGAAAGCCATTTTATTGTTAATTATATTAGGTGCCTTTTATGCTTTACTGTGTATAGGTAGAAGCTCCTTAAAAAGTAATTATGCACTTAAATGATGCATTCAAATTGAAGTTGCCACATGTTTGTATTGAAACTGGGGAATGTGCTCGGATGTAATTATAATGCTTTTCTGCTACTTACATTAAAAGTTGTGGAATTTGCAAGAAGAACCATGATCAACACCTACTGCTACTGTGTGATACTTGTAAACTCCATTATCATCTTGGTTGCCTGGATCCACCTCTTACAAGGATGCCAAGGAAGACCAAGAACAGTTACTGGTAAGAATGCAGTTGATGTGTTGTCTTGTGGTATCTCTGTACTTAAAGTAGGACATGACAAATCGTAGATTTACCCCAGTAAATTTAGTTAGTAAATTAATAGAGATTTCCTTTAAAAGCTGAAAATCTCAGAAAGGTTTTCACCATCACTAATATTTTTCTGAACTTAATTTTCCTTTAATTATTTAATGTAGTCTGTGATTTTGGACTTTTTATTATTTCAAGGGCATTCTGAGCTCTTTGGTAAATTTTACCAAGTAGTTATGTTACATGGAAACTTTTTTTTTGGTAGCTTCTGCATTTGCACAGGAGGTTCTTGATTTTTATTCTGCTTTTTAACCAAGTTGAAAAGGCTCACTAAAAGCCATCAGTCCAAAATATGTAAGACTACAATTCTCAGTAGGTGTTAAAGGCAGAATAGGTCAGGTTAGGTAGTAAAACACTTTTATTTCAAAGCTATAACTTATCTTTGTTGTGAATTTCATGCTTCAATTATATCTCAGATCACAAACTTAGCTTTTACATCTAATTAGCTAAGGCATATTCTGGAGTGTGAGATTATAGCAGACAAATTGAGCTGTACTGGTTGCATTCTTTTCATCATTGGACATGCCTTTATGTATTCTTTTCAGGATCAGTAGAGAGCATATAGAACGGACCCTTAATCTGTTTGAATTCAGCAGGTTTCCCCCCCTGCTGTTTCGAATACAATTTTAATCTTTTATGCTCTGAAGAAAAGTGCAATTTTTTTATTCGGGGGCCATGTACTTTTCAGATGTTTGTATAGGATACAATGGGAACTTAAGCAAAAAGAGAAAGTAAGAAAATGGGTATAGCGGGAAATTCCTTGAAATGTTAGGCAGGTTGGAAGACTTTATAAGTGGCTAAAAATGTTTACTTTAGTCCTGTTTTAAAATAGTAAGCAGGAAACAGTTAAAAATAATTGTTTCTTAATTTTTACTTTCTATTCCATTATCACTGTTAATCATTTGCTCATAATTGCTAACTTGAGCCTTTGCAAAAGATTTGATGATTAGAGTCATATACTTTATCAATACATGTTTATTTAAATATTGGGTAGTTTAGCCTGAGTTTATACCATATGCTTCGTATGTTATACTGTTTGAGGATGCTAAATGATTCAGCTTACGTGTGTGATGCTACGTAGATTAGTTAATTAATTTACTAATTAACTAATAGATTAACTAATAGATTAGTTAATTAGTAAATAGTTAATAAAAAGTTATACTTTTTGTCCATTTCATACTCAGCATTTAATAGAAATTTAAATTACAGTATACAAAAAAGGATTTTGAAATTAACTAGATCCACTATTACATGTAATGGTAAGAAAAAAAAGTCTTTTTTTATATTTAAAACCTAATTTGTTAAAGAAAACCCAAATTATAATTGGTTATCTCAATGTTTCCAAACATTAAAAGGAGGTAATGATTTTAGTCTTAGTGAAATCATAGTAAGAGTTTAGACCTGGTGAGCACCAGTGTCTCACAGCTTATTAGAAACTGGTTTCAAACACTTAACACTAAGAATTTCCCCTTTTCAGGGGCCTGACAGTTTTCTGTTACCTTTGTATAAAGGTAACATTTATACATCTTGACTATTTTAGAAAGAAATTGTTTGTAACATAGTAAGTTCAAAGCCTATCCTCATTTCAAATTGATGTATTTTGAGAGGAAGAGCATAACAACTGTTTTATGTAATAAAATATGAAGGCATTAATTTCTGTCTGTTTTGATGTGGTGCTTTCAAAGTAGACCAGCAGTTCTAATCATAGAGTAAAATGCTGTGGCATACTTGTATTTAAAACTAGGAATTTTTCAGTTTCTTAGAAACCCTGTTGATTAAACGTTAGAATATTCTTTTGATTCACATGTTCTCATAAAATTAAGTCTTGTCATTCTCTCGTGACAACTTGTGTGCTTTTATGCTCCTGCCGATTCTGGGTGGACTGGGAACTGTGTATTTTCCTAGTAGAGAATGATCTGAACTGATACAAAAGCAATGCACAAGTGTTGACAGACAATACAATGAATCAAAATCTGATTGTAAAATATTGACATTTTCATTAAGAAAATACTTGGCAGCTACCAGCAGGGACTAGCTCTTTCTGTTGAAATGAGATTGCTGAAAAACAGTGATAACTTCTGGTAGCATATGAAATGCTGGGGACCGAGATGAACCAAACAAGGACTAATGATCATATTAGGTTTGATGGTTTTTATTTTTGTTTTGGAAGGCCAAGTTATTTTAGGGGTAACTGTTGTGTGGAGTATTGGCCACAAGACATAATGAGCTGTGGAGTTCCTGACCAGTAGTCCCATGAACACTCATTCAGTCTCTGGACATTCATTCATATTCCTGACCCCACTCATTCAGTACTGATGCAGCACATCTTGATTGTTTTTTCCATCCTGAGTCATTGGATAATGATATAAAATTATTAACTTATATAAGTGTGAGTGCAATGTAATATTGCATATAACATAAATTTTTATGTATTTGTCACTTGTCCTAACTGACGGATGTTTGGGTTGTTGCAAATGGAAAATTTTCAGTACCTTTACTGTCTGAAAGATGGATGCTCTTTGAAGCTCTTTGACAAGCTATTTTTGGTTCATATGTACTGTCTTTTATCTGCAGAATAAGAGCAGTCTTCCTTTTTTCTGCTTCCAGTACATCATTCAACATGTGTGATTTATTCAAATTACTGGAGCATAGGTGTCATCTTAAAGCTATGGTCCATGTTTCTCAAGTTGTAAGTGGTTTAATTCTTTGCTAACGTTGCAAGAAGTGATTTATCACAGAGTGTGTGTACGAGACCTGTTTCCTCCTAATTAAAAACAAGCCAAACTCTAACTAATAACTATACAGCTTTCCTTTTTAAACACTGAGGGCAGAACTGTTTTCTGGAAGCACTGTAGCGGTGTTCGCTCAGCATGGAAGATTTAAGTTTACTCTTTTCACAGTGAGCACTGTGAGCAGAGGATGCTGGTTTCTTCCAGATCCGCTGCCGGCCTAATGCCCAGTTGTGATTATAAGAACAACTGTCTTGTTCAGACTGAGTCCTTCATACTTTCATCACACAGCCACTATGAAACTATGTACCATAACACAGTTAAGGCATTCTAATTCATCTATAATGTGATAATTGAACAAAACCTCAATTTTTTCCTAATTTTTGTAGTGTTACCTTTTCAGTAAAATATTTTCATATGTTTTTATCGGATTTTCTGTCTCGTATAGCAAAGATGTAGTTTGCTTTGTTATTAAAATTTCAAAAATAAAAACGGATTCATGTTAAGCTTACCAGTATATTGGCTTTGAGCCCTGTTTGTGAGATCTTCAACTTCATGACCTTTCATTTATAAAGGAATGGTGTTCAGTGTTTCTTCAGCTTTGCTCACCATCATTTCACAAATTTCAGTGTGCCAGGCCCATCTGTTAAAGTGCATTTAGATTTTTTTTGATGTGTAAAGCTGCAGCATAAGGAAGCATCATAATGTCATTGTTAGCACTAATTTTTTGGGGAAGTAACAGGGTTTTCTCTCTACGGTTTTCATAGCCACTTCACCAAAAAACCACCCCATCTTCAAACTATCCCTCCCTTCCTTGTTTTCTCAGTGATGTAGATGTTCACTTTTTCACTTTGTAAATTTCTAGGTTAAAGGCCGTATGCTATCAGTTTCTAAAACTTCATAAACAGAAAGCACTCTTTGGTCTTTGAGTGCTTACTGAAGCCGCGAAGTAAAGCCCCGTTACAGGTTCACATGTGTCTTGAAGCTGCCCATGCTCAAAAATCTGTTCACCACCAGGCCATGCAGAAACATTTGCCTCACGCAGTTACACAAAACCAGTGTTTCAGTGTTAGCCTGGACCATTGAAAATTAATAATAGTGTGTGTTCCTTTTCACTTGCTGTTCTTGTCTTTTGATAGTGTGTTGAGAAGATCCATTTGCTTTGTGAGGTGGGAAGGTATCTCTGGTACCATTGGTTCTTGTACCAACTCACGTTGAAAACACAACAAAACCATGCAGCATTTTTTCTTCTGTAGGTTGTTAGCGCTTAATCAAAGGCTTTCTGTATGATTAAAAGGTTTCAAATAATCACTGAGATTTCTTGATCGATCAAACATTTCCAGTAATTTTTAGTAGTAGGCACATTTAAGTAGCAGGCATATTATTGCCTACTACTGATTTTCTCTGTGAGTCTAGATTAGGCAAGTCCAGACTAAAAGCAAAATAAAACCTGTGCACAGAAGTTGACTCTTTGGCACCATTTCTCCTGTTAATTTGCTTGTGCTGCATGGCAATGCTTGCTAATTTAGAGGTAGTTGAAGATTGTTGGAACAGTTGGAAAGGTGACCTGTTGTGGCAAGTTCTCTATTCACTGATTGTCCTTGAAGAGATGAAATTAAGTAAGCATGACTTCAGCGTAGCCAAAAGGAAGAGGAGCCATATGGCTGCTTTCTATGAATGTATTGGGATTAAACAGCAGAATGGGAAAAGAGTTCTTTAAATTCAAGAACCATGTTGAAATAAACCATAATAGGAGCTGAAAGTTAGGAGATTGTTTCCAAGACACAGGAGTGTGTGTCTGTAATAGCTTTTCTGTGGGCGCTATGGGAGCTAACAACCAAACTACTTTATAGTTGAAGCTTGACTGCTTTATAATAGGGTTGATAAGATGTGGTTGCCTGTGATAGTAGAGGCTATTCCAGTAAATCAAGAGTTTGCTTGTAAGTTCATGTTCATAACTTACCTTTTTCCTCTCACCTTCAGTGTTTTTGTGAAGTTTTGTTCTGTGATTCACCCATCCGCCCCATCGTACTATGGTTTTGCAGCTTTCTTTTTGTACATCTAGCTTTTTTCTAATTTTAATTGCTGTGACACTTGCACCACCTGTTTCAGAGCAAGCTCGATCATAAAAATGGAATTTCAGGAACTTGCGTGCGGTACTTCGTCTGTTGATGGAGATGTTTCTTGTCTTCCTCACTAACATCAAAGTTAAAATACTTTATTTATATTTAAATAGGTCCCTAATGAAACTAGAGTTCGTTACTGATCTGCATAGTTAGTTTCTGTACAACTGTCTGAGCTTATGTAGCAGAAAAACGGTATCTTTCCCTTTTAACAGTGCAGAGCTAAAGAACAGGAATGATTTAAATCGTAGGTGCAGGGTGGTAGATCCAAGATACTGGGTTCCCAACTCCAAATGTTGCTGTAAAATTATACTACTATTTTTTTGTCTTATAAAAACTTCATTTTTTTTAACGCAGCTCTTTAGTTGTAGAATGCTTATTTTTTAATTTATACATAGTACATGTTTTTACCATAATAATGGGGAAAATAAACTTTTTGTAAGAATTGCTCGTCACAGTGTTTTTGAGCACTTTCATAGCTACTGCTTACATCTGCATAAGCAGATCATAGTCAGTACTTTCAGTTGTGCTTTCTGTTACATAAATTAATGAAATGACTGATTCTGCAGTATTATGGAGGGCTGTGCTCTCTGATGCTTACCAAACAGAAAATCTCCTTAGAGTTTTGAGTTGGACAACTTGAAGACAATGCACCGTATCAAAGTAAAGAACACAGTGTAACCTTTAGCTAAGCAGACACACAAAATTTTGAGGGAATGGTGTTACCTCTGAAGCTTTCCTCTCCTGTTACATCATTGGAGAGACTTTCTCCATAAAATCTTACAATCATAGTAGTTGGTCTTCATGCTTTTGTTTGTTTACTTAAGTGCATAAGTATGCACAAACATATTTGTTTGTCTTTATGCACACAAATTTATGTAAAGATATAACTGTAAAAAGTAGCATTTTGTGAAAGTTATTATACCTCATTTTTTAAATTGGTTTTATATTTTAGTGTCCTAAAGAGGCCTAGAAATGTTAACAGGTACTGTGTCTGTAGCGAACTGAGGTTTGTAAACAGGAGGAAGAATAGAGTATTACACACTTGTATGCTGGCCCAAAACTGTTTGCAAAGTATAAAAACTGCATAAAGTGACTTCCTTGTGTTTTGGCTACTAATGAAGTCTCCATACTTACATGAGGGAGGGGAGACACTGTTAACCTTTCCTGTCATCTACCCTGTAGTACCTCTGCTTTTCTAGACCAGCAAATACTTCTTGTACTGGCATGTGTCCTATGTCCAGTGATCTCAAGTGCTTTAGAGACAAGAATTGATTAATCTTCATAACATTATAATGTAACCAAAATTATCTTAATTTTACATATGGAAAAATTGAAGGAGAAAGGTGTTGACTTAGCTGAGGTTACACTGATAACAGTTACCCAATCCAGGATTAGATCCCCTCTATTTTGATTTAGTAGCCACTGGTCTGTCTAGCGGACCACAATGACTGCTGTTGTCTTCTGGTATAGCCGGGAGAGATCTGAGATTATACTGCCTGGATTAGTTTGAAAGAATTGGAAAACATGGAAAGTTGATGGAGTTGATATTGTGTTAGCTCTTACTGAAGTTCATATGAGAAAAAATATTGCTGTTGAACATGTACATATGAAGAAATCATCTCAGACACACCATACATACCTGACTTTGTGCTTTTGTCTAGGTATGGGATGAGTATGCCTTCTTGTCACAAGTGTGTATTAACATTTAACTTCAAATAATTAAATGTATGTTTTCTGTTTGTCTCCTTCCAAAGGAAATTTGCTTCGTTTAGGTAATTTTAATGTGTGTATCCCTGTTAATGCTAATAAATAGCAGAACATAATGTTGATTTTTTTTTTTCAGTTGGTATTATAAAAAGAACATTTTTAATACGAGAACAGTGATGAATTGGAATTTGTTTGAAAGGATTTATAGTTTTTTGAATTGGAAGTGTAATGTGAGAAGGAATTAAAAAAACAGCTCTTATCAGTAGGTATAATTTTTAAGTTTTCATTAACATTTTTAGTTAACATCCACATTTATGACTTTGCATAAGGTGAGCGTTTTCTGCAAATGAGAACAAAACTTGATGACTTCCCATCTTGTTAATTCTGTCATGGAGCTAGCATTACCTTAGCATCTGTTCACTTTTGAAGTTCTGATTGTGATTTTGTACGTTTTCAAAAACTCAACAGGCATTTTTTTCAACTCAGTGTTCAGAGTTTGTTAATATAAATCTCCAGCTTCTATATCTTTAATTGTCTCTTAACTGTTTTTTTTAGATTTAAAACCCACTCACTTAGAAAACACCTATTAAAATTGATTTTCACAACAGACATTTCTTCTAAATCCCTGCCACTAAAGAGCCCTCTCATCAGAATGAATTCAGCAGCGTGTCTTTGTAAAGATTAAAGTGCAGCAGCAGTTAAAATAATGAATAGATTACAGATCAGTAGGCGCTATTAAAAATGGGGATATGGTAGCATGCAAATGGTGAAATAGGGTACATCTTTCTTGAAGATTAAATCCTGCTTTCAAAGTCTTGGTTTTCAAAGTCTAAATACTGACAGAAAAAAAACCCAGCAATAAGAGTGGCTTGCTTGTTTTTTGCTTAGTTGCTTAAAATATCACACATTTGAGGGACTTCTTTAGGTGTCCATTGGGTTTCTTGACTTTTGAATTTATTTTAAACCCAATCACTTCAATATGTTTCTTCTTCTACTTTTGTGACTGCAGTTTTTAATAGAAAATCTTCCACTTTGCAGGCAGTGCTCAGAGTGTGACCAGGCAGGTAGCAGTGACATGGAGGCTGATATCGCCATGGAAACCTTACCAGATGGGACCAAACGATCAAGGAGGCAGATTAAGGAACCAGTGAAATTTGTTCCTCAGGATGTGCCACCAGAACCGAAGAAAATTCCAATCAGAAACACGGTAAATGATGGTTGAGTTGTTGTTAGGCAGCTCATATTCATAATAATTTTGTTTAAGATGGCTTATGTTTTGGACATTTTGAATTGTGGGATTTTAATTTGATTGATGTTCTATTTTTGTTATAAATTCCCTTTCCTCTGTTTAATGCTTTATTACTTGTGTTAAATATATAGTTTTGCTACAGTAAAAAGCTGGGAAACACGGTACTGAACTGGAGAGCTGTACAAGCTTTTCCTTTTCCCTGGGTCAAGAAGTCCTCTGTTAATTGCAGAAAAAGGGAAAATTCAGTTTGCACTTAAACTTAGCCTTTACAACTGTTCTTCACCTTAGTGGTAAGGACACTTTATTCTTGTATGCTAAGATTTAAATGTATCGAATTGCCAATTACAACTGTAAAGTAATTAGTAATTTCCTTATGTACAGGCAACCTACTGACTGACTGCACATTTTGTGACTATCACAAGACCCTGTTATTTCAGTTTGTTTAGCTTCCTCGTCTTACTAGTCATTGTATGTTTTCTCAGACTTCCCTGGTAGATAGTTTTTAGAGAAGAGAAGCAAAAGCTCTTGCTTCCTGTACTGATGAAATACTTAGCATCTTTCTTTCATTTGAAAGTAGAACTTTTTTATTAATCACTGTATTCCGTTGTGTTTCTCTGGTGCTCTAATCCTTAAAATTTTGCTCTCCTACTTGCTCATGAAACAAGGTTTTTCATGTGTGATGTGTCACATCACCTATAAAATGTACATAAAAGTGTCAAACGGCTTTTAGGTCCAGTTTAGGGAACGACTAATGTTCCCATGACCCTTTCGACATGAGTAGTAATTATATATAAACTGGTGGTTCATCTTCCAATATACAACTTAGTATTAGGAAATACTTCAACCCTCTCATGTTAGGGTTAGACATACTTCATCCCTCATGGAACACAACTTTATTTTCCTCACAGGGCTTTCCAGACTCTTTATGCTTGCACTAGTAGATACCATACTTAACTCTTCTGAGTATACACTGATAGGATTAAACAAGTATTTCCCTGATCCAACCTTAAATGTTTGCTTTAATTACATTTCAAAGTATTTGGAATGTTTGGGCCGCAGCTTTGATTTACCGAATGGCTTCCTTTTCCTGGTCTATGATTAAGAAGAACTTTTAAGAACGACTCAAGCCAAAATGATTAATTTAGCTCAAACTATTAGGAGTGTGAGTAATCCAAAATTAAATTTTGTGAATAATTGAGAACCTCTGCACGGGAGAAACTTTTTTCTTTCTTTTTGTCATTGAGGGAAAATTCCCTTCTTCCCTATGTGCAAGAACATGTAGGTTCTTACAGCTGTCTGGGTAAATTCAACTTACTGTTGTCATGCTGTTGTTTACCCAGAAAGAAGACATATCTGGTGTTCCTGCTTACTGAACCCTTTGCATCTCCGCTCCCCTTTTTCTTCTTTCTCTCTTTTCCCTCTTTTTACACCTAATATAGTGGTATTAGGGGGTGGGGAATCATGATTATGGCACTAAAGAGAACTAAAAGTATTGCAGGGAAGACATACATAGTAGTAATAGACAAAAGAGTGATATAAGGCATTGTACAGAAATCCATAGGAAGACAAGATTGGTTTGTTCTAATGCCCGTGTAATAGCTGCTCAGCTCCTTCTGTGCTAAATGGAGAGAAGTCTGATTGCTCTGAAGTGTTGCCCTCACATTGTGACACTGTGATGTGCTACATTGGTGATTTGGCACCTCACATGTTAGAGAGTATGTCTACACACATTGTGGTACATAATATAGAGATTAAATTTACTTTGAGTGGACTAGTATGTTGGTACAGTACAGAATTGTACTGTGGAAGAATTACTGCTACCAGTCTAAGAATGACTTTGTTCCTCTGCTTGAATTTTGACGCTCTCGTTCAGTTCTCTCCAGTTGTCTGCTTTTCTGCAACATACAGATTTGCAAGATAACATCTTTGCTGTCTTGTGGGCAGGGCTCCTCTGTCAAAATTATCTCCACTCTTTTAGCTTTCCCACAGCTGACAGATGGGTTTTTTAATTATTTTTTTTTTATTTTATTTATTTCCTACTGTCTTCTACTTAACTATGGAAGAGAAGGTTCACACCCTTGACATCTGCTGGGTTTCTTTCTCTCAACTAGGCTGAATTGCTTTGTTTCAACTCTTTCGTGATCTTGGTGCACTTAGACTGTATAACAAAATGAAGGTAACAGACCTCTGAAGACTTAATAGATACTTCCTAGCAGTATGGGATTCCCATTCACCTTTGCCATGAACCCAGGAAAGTTGGTGTTAGTTTTTGTTGATTGCTTGTTTTGTTTTGTTTTTTTAGGAAGAGAATACTTTTAATTCTTTAGGTCTGAGGCTGTCTGTATATTTGAGGGGAAAAAAACTGACCTTTGAACAATTTCTCATATGAGGTTTACTTGAGTCTGACTACATGGAGAACATCTATGTGGTGCATTTCAACAACGATGACCAGATACTTGTTTTGTCCTTTGTGTACTCACTGCTCAAATCCTTTAAAATAAAGAAGAAAAAATTAACAATTTGAAAATACACTTACTTCACAGTCCTCTCTTCTCAGTGTAGTTTGTATCTCTGGACGTGTTCTATTCAATCTAGTTTTATTTTGGAAGGAATTGGCAAGCCTGCTTAGCTAACAGTGTGTAATCAGCCTTGCTTACAGTTATAATCAACAAGTGCAATTATAAGACTGTTGAATTGTGTATCTGTTGCTCTTAAGGGAATTTCCATTTGTTTTGCATAAATTTATCTTGAATTGATATAATTGAAGTTTGGGGTGGGGTTTTTTTGCCACATACCTAAGAGAACAGAATGCATCTTATATGTTTGGATTTCACTGTAGTGGTTTATCATAGTTAACTCTTCATTACTTTGTTGACAGAAACTGTCTGTAAGCCCTAATATTTTACTTTGATAAGTTGCGTTAGGTGTTACTGATGACAATAATAGCTGGTATCTGTAAGACATTTTATACAAATGCATATGATTAACTAAGCCTATATGCTAACTGTATGGAAAAAAATATTTCATGTTAAATTGCACTTTCAGAATTGATACTTTGTGATCAGCTTGTCTTGCAGCTCCTATTTGGTAACGCTGATTTCAGAGATGATGAAGGATACCCTTTTCATGAAAAATTGTTTTTTTCCTTATTCGTAATATTTTTTTTCTAATTTCTGTCTGCTTGGGGTGCACTATGAAGAGTAAAAGACCCTTTTAGAAGTATTCATAATTTTATCATTGTTTCTCATCCAATCTAATTATGGATGTGCACTTAAGTCCTGCAGATTTTTTTATTTTTTTTTTTTAATCCTTCGAAGCACCTGAATTCATTGATGTTGTGGATTTTCTTTTCCAGGGCTAAACTGATCTTTAAAGAAAATAGTGGTGGTTTTTTTCCGCTTTCAATGTAACCTTAGAATTCCCTTTTGTTTTGCATTATTGCAAAAAATAACAAGGACATCTAATTTTACCTTCTGCAACCCGTACTATTTCTCCTCCTTCTTTTCCTTTATGAACTTAACAGTTCTTTTCAGGTTTTTCTCATCTTAAGTCTCTTAAGTACTTAGCCTTACATCTGTGTCAGGATACTCTTAGCAGAGGTTTAGAGTAGGATGCTCTGCATTATTTTGAATGGTCTAAGTAGATTAGTTTTAAAACATAATAATAAGAAAAAAAATACTGACAAAGCACCTACAAACTGTTTTTAGCACAGGAAGTTGTTGTGTATACTGCTTTTCTTTCACAAATGAATACTGTTATTTAGAATAAATTATTGTTTCTTGCTTTTGTTTCAAATAGGAAAAGACAGTAGAGGAGTGACTATTTTTTTTTTCTTACCAAGTATATTAAAAGATAAACAAGACTGTTATCTTGTATTTAACTGAAGCATTTCCACTGAAGTGCTTTCCAAATATCTATTGTGTAACTTAATTATGCGATGTCATAGATACAAATTGTTGTGAATAAAAGATGGCTACAGGAGGAAAACAGAACATCAGTTCCAATTTGAGTGTAAGTATCAGTGCTTCATAAAAACAGCAGATAATTTTAAAACACTTATCTATACTTATCAGTCATCATTTTAATTAACATTATCAATGATTGGTCAACCATTTAAATATGACTTCTAAATAACTACCTGGAAGACCTTTTAAAGCAGCTATCTAATAGTAGTGTTTTTGACATATTCAACTTCAAAGAAATTGCTGTCAACTGAACATTAATGCTCTAGAACAAAATAATCAGGAGTTACTCAGCTTTCTGAAATTTAAGGTTTTTCAGCACTGAATGTAAAAGCTCAACTGAGTCTATGACACATCAATACAAACATACAAAAGCTAGATCAATCAGCCTGCCAAATACATGGATATATGATAGCATAGGACTCTTTCTTTTGGCTTGAGGTCAAATTTAGAAAGGAGGAAAGTAAGATAAATTGATGCAGCTCTTCCACAATGCTTGAAGCAAATGGAGTATATCAGAGTTTTGTGTTTGGGTTTTTTTTTGTTTGTTTGCGGTTTGGGGGTTGTTTTGTTTGTTTGTTTGGTGTTTTAAGAAAGCAGGGGGAAAAAACCCATAGATGAAAGGTCACTTCTTTTTGACGTAGCAAAGGCATGAAGAGATGGACATATTCCAAGTGGTATTCCAATGGTGTGAATACTTATACCTCTGTAAGTAAAGGTAACTAGCATATCTATCACTTCTGCAAATAAGTGCATTTAAGTTCAGTTTTCCAGAAAAGAATCACTTGTTTTAGCAACATCTGCAAACTGACTTTTTCTGGCCTTTTTGCCCTCCTGCTTCTGTTTCGGTTCCCCAAGTGTGTGTGCTTTGGAGGATATTAGTGTTAAAAAGGATATAAAGCAATCCTACTAGTTCTCAAATTCTGTTATATGTTTAACTCTTAGAAGCAGTAGTTTCAAGTTAATTGCCAGATTCAGTGAT